GCAGATCTCCAGGAAGGGAACTCTGTCATGAACAGGGATGGATGTCTGACGGCCTGGACTCATGTTCCCAAAATACAGAAGATCTAGGATGTAAGAGACCCATGTTGTTCCTGAAGTTGAAATGGACAAAAGGTTTTATGTTTAGCTGTAAACATACAGTGGCTTCCAAAATATTCAGTCCCCTTGAACTTTTCCACATTTTGTCACATTACAGCCACAAACATGAATCAATTTTATTGGAATTCCACGTGAAAGACCAACACAAAGTGGTGTACATGTGAGAAGTGGAACGAAAATCATACATGATTCCAAATATTTTTTACAAATAAATAACTGAAAAGTGGGGTGTGCGTACTCGGACATCAATGCAAAATTGTTTATGAACACACACACACAAAAAAATACTATGATTACATAAGCTCCATACTCTTATATACAGATCAGTACCTGCTTTAGGGTAAGTTGCGATAAGAATATCATCTGGTCTTGCTTTGAAGTTCTGTACATTGTCCCAATTGTCAGTGAAGACGTTGGTCATGGAGACTCCATTGAAGTCAAACAGTTGTGGGCGAGGTGGCAGCTCCATCTGTGAGAATGATTTGCCCTTAAAATAAAAGTGTATGTCGTGTTTTCTCCAGTCCTTACTTGTGCAACAACATAAAGCTATGCTTAAAACATGTTTAACAACTGTGTAGGCTGACTTCTCCCCCCACAGATCAGAAGTGATATTTTTTAACTTCCATCAGTCTAGAAAACATGTTGCTTTTTTGTTCCATAAGAGAGGCACTGGAAGTTTTAAAAAAAAAAGGTCCTTGGGAACTGTCCACATTTAAAAAAAAACTGTTTGTGGGTCTTGGCTTGAAATAACAGATTATCTGCAAAAGTAAATCCTTAAATCTGCATTATTTTTAACGGCCAGCAGAGGGAGGTTTTTGGCAGAAAGTGGCACGATAGCACAGAAGTGTAAAAGAAAATCACTCTAATCATAATGTATGCCTTCATCTAACACTTTATGTTATAAATAAAATAAAAATTTAAACAGTATATGCTTCATGCTGTGGACTATTGACTGATTATCGTCATGCAGTGGCAGATGTAGCTCTAGCTTGTGACCTCAGGTTTTAAACATCAGAGGTGATGAACAAAATGCTAAACTGGAATTTTCATGTTAAAGGCACCTCTGATATACATTTAACGGCTGTGACTCAGTTTAAAGATCAGTTTAAGGATCAGAATCACATCCAGTTTCTCGTTTTAATAACAGATCTGATAATCTGATAAAGTGTAAATCCCCGTGTTAGAGTTTGCTAATCTAAGATTCTGGAGCTGCTGTCTCTGCTTGATCCTGCACCACTAATCAGCTCTACAGTAATTATACCTGTAAGTTCACCAACACCACCTTTGCCACTTTAACCTTTGTGACTGCAGTGTTACTGCTTTTTAGTTTTTATGTTTTTACTAGGACTGCTCCTGCTTGAGTCTGCCTCAGCCATCTGTTGGTTTACTCACGTGGTTTTGTGTTGCTTTAAACTAACTTAACATTATTTTGAAATTGTGAATATTGGGCATATTGACATGATGCAAGATGGTATAACGAGTCATCAGTAAAATTAAACTAGTAATTGCAATAAAAAAAATCAGTAGTTAATGTAATAATAATTATTAATTGGCTGATGATTTGGGGGTTAAAAGAGATTTATAAAAATAATAAATAAATAA